GATGGAATTGAACCAAATATGGCACACAGAACTCCCACGACGAACAGAAAATATATATCAGTGATTGGTTGGGGGGGGGGCAAAATACTGTTTGCTTAACGTTGAAAATTACCTAGGGCCGCCTCTGCCTCTAGGTATGGGGCGACTTTGTCACATTTTTGCCCTAAAAGTTATTTTAGGTCCAGGAGGACCTCCCCCCGCCCCCCAACAGGTAATAACCTAGAAGTCAATTTATGATGGGTGTTTTCTGGCTGCTTCAGGTACCATTGTGTGGTGTAATGCAGACAAGCTAGACCAGTGGTTCTCAACCTGGGGGTCGGGACCCCTTGAGGGGTCGCGAGGGGTTTTTAGAGGGGTCGCCAAAGACCATCAGAAAACACAATATTTTCTGTTGGTCATGGGGGTTCTGTGTGGGAAGTTTGGCCCAATTCTATCATTGGTGGTTCAGAATGCTCTTTGATTGTAGGTGAACTATAAATCCCAGCAACTACAACTCCCAAATGTCAAGATTCTATTTTCCCCAACTCCACCAGTGTTCACATTTGGGCATATTGAGTATTCTTGTAGAGTTTGGTCCAGATCCATCATTGTTTGAGTGCACAGTGATCTCTGGATGTAGGTGAACTACAACTCCAAAACCAAAGGACACTGCCCACCAAACCCTTCCAGTATTTTCTGTTGGTCATGGGAGAACTGTGTGCCAAGTTTGGTTTAATTCCATCGTTGATGGGGTTCAGAATGCTCTTTGATTGTAGGTGAACTATAAATCCCAGCAACTACAACTCCCAAATGACAAAATAAATTCTTTTTGAGTGAAGAACATGCATTGGATTGTTAGGTGTCTTGTGTCCAAATTTGGTGTCAATTCGTCCAGTGGTTTTTGAGTTCTTTTGATCCCACAAACGGACATTACATTTTTATTTATATAGATTCAAAAACATTTAACCTACCGATGCTTCAGTTAATGTAATTTTATTGGTATCTATTTTTATTTGGAAATTGACCAGTAGATGCTTCATTTCCCACCTTTGGCTTATACTCAAGTCAATACTTTTTCCCAGTTTTTTTGTGGGTAAAATTAGGTGCCTCGGCTTATATTCAGGTCAGCTTATACTCGAGTATATATGGTAAGCCAGAGCTGGCATAGTCTCACAGCAGAAGGGGGAAACTCTTCTGCCTTGAGCACTCATTCTTATTTTGATAGAGCAGCATTTCTCAACCTGGGGGTCGGGACCCCTGTGGGGGTTGCGAAGGGGTGTCAGAGGGGTCGCCAAAGACCATCAGAAAACACAGTGTTTTCTGTTGTGCATGGGAGCCCTGTGTGGAAAGATTGGCCCAATTCTATCGCTGGTGGGGCTCAGAATGTGCTTTGATTGTAGGTGAACTATAAATCCCAGCAACTACAACTCCCAAATGTCAAGGTCTATTTCCCCCAAACTCCACCAGTGTTCACATTTGGGCATATTGAGTATTTGTGCCAAGTTTGGTCCAGATCCATCATTGTTTGAGTGCACAGTGATCTCTGGATGTAGGTGAACTACAACTCCAAAACCAAAGGACACTGCCCACCAAACCCTTCCAGTATTTTCTGTTGGTCATGGGAGAACTGTGTGCCAAGTTTGGTTCAATTCCATCGTTGATGGGGTTCAGAATGCTCTTTGATTGTAGGTGAACTATAAATCCCAGCAACTACAACTCCCAAATGACAAAATAAATTTTTTGAGTGAAGGACATACATTTGTTAGGTGTCTTGTGTCCAAATTTGGTGTCAATTCGTCCAGTGGTTTTTGAGTTCTTTTGATCCCACAAACGGACATTACATTTTTATTTATATAGATTCAAAAACATTTAACCTACCGATGCTTCAGTTAATGTAATTTTATTGGTATCTATTTTTATTTGGAAATTGACCAGTAGATGCTTCATTTCCCACCTTTGGCTTATACTCAAGTCAATACTTTTTCCCAGTTTTTTTGTGGGTAAAATTAGGTGCCTCGGCTTATATTCAGGTCAGCTTATACTCGAGTATATATGGTAAGCCAGAGCTGGCATAGTCTCACAGCAGAAGGGGGAAACTCTTCTGCCTTGAGCACTCATTCTTATTTTGATAGAGCAGCATTTCTCAACCTGGGGGTCGGGACCCCTGTGGGGGTTGCGAAGGGGTGTCAGAGGGGTCGCCAAAGACCATCAGAAAACACAGTGTTTTCTGTTGTGCATGGGAGCCCTGTGTGGAAAGATTGGCCCAATTCTATCGCTGGTGGTGCTCAGAATGTGCTTTGATTGTAGGTGAACTATAAATCCCAGCAACTACAACTCCCAAATGTCAAGGACTATTTCCCTCAAACTCCACCAGTGTTCACATGTGGGCATATTGAGTATTTGTGCCAAGTTTGGTTCAGAGCCATCATTTTTTGAGTCTACAGTGCTCTCTGTATGCATGTAAACTACAACTCCAAAACTCAAGGTCAATGCCCACCAAACCCTTCCAGTATTTTCTGTTGGTCATGGGGGTTCTGTGTGCCAAGTTTGGTTCTATTCCATTGTTGGTGGAGTTTGGAATGCTCTTTGATTATAGGTTAACTATAAATCCCAGCAACTACAACTCCCAAATTACAAAATCAATCCCCCTGCCCAATCCCACCAGTATTCAAATTTGGGCGTATTGGGTATTTGTGCAAAATTTGGGTCCAGTGAATGAAAGTACATCATGCATATCAGATATTTATGTTACGATTCATAACAGTAGCAAAATTACAGTTATGAAGTAGAAACAAAAATAATGTTATGGTTGGGGGTCACCACAACATGAGGAACTGGATTAAGGGGTCACGGCATTAAGTAGGTTGAGAACCACTGAGCTAGACTGTGTAATATCCACGGAAATATGAATAAGTTGTGACATCACATCCAATGCAAGAACACACATGAAGCAATTTCACTTACCCCAGCAATTGGTAAGGTGTGTGGGTTCAGAAATATGAATAAGTTGTGACATCACATCCAATGCAAGAACACACATGAAGCAATTTCACTTACCCCAGCAATTGGTAAGGTGTGTGGGTTCAGAGCAATATGTGCGGTATGCATGATGTGAAAGTTCCAAGAGCAGATGACTGCAATAGTTTAATATCATCACTGTGTACTTCCTCCTGTTTTTAAGACTACTTTAACAACAACAACAAAAACAAAAGTTTGTTTATACCTTGCCACTGTCTCCCATAGGGACTCAGGGTGGTTTACAAATAGCACATACTGGTGCCATGCAAAACATAAAATGCAATACATCAACATTAAAATCGATACAAAATATAAACCACACACATACAATTCACACAAGCAAATAAAATCAGTAGTAGCCGTAGATTAAAAGGTTCATACAATCAGTTTAGGATCCCAGCTATAAACCAATCAAATGTGGATATAAAGTGCTAGAAGAGTTGGGAGTCAATCCTGGCTACCATCTAAATGAGTTGTTCTCAACCTTCCTAATGACACAACTCCTTAATAGAGTTCCTCATGTTGTGGTGACCCCAACCATAAAATTATTTTCATTGCTACTTCATAACTGTAATTTTTGTACTGTTAACGAAGATCTGCTTAGTGAAAGCAATGGTATTCCCCGTAGTAACCTACGGATGTGAGAGCTGGACCATAAGGGAGGCTGAGCGAAGGAAGATAGATGCTTTTGAACTGTGGTGTTGGAGGAAAATTCTGAGAATACCTTGGACCACAAGAAGATCAAACCAGTCCATATTTCAGAAAATAAAGCCCAACTGCTCATTGGAGGGAAGGATATTAGAGACCAAGATGAAGTACTTTGGCCACATCATGAGAATACAGGGCTTGGAGAAGACAATGATGCTGGGGAAAATGGAAGGAAAAAGGAAGAGGGGCTGACCAAAGACAAGATGGACAGATGGTGTCCTTGAAGTGACTGCTTTGACTCTGAAGAAGCTGGGGGTGGACATGGCCGACAGGGAGCTCTGGCGTGGGCTGGTCCATGAGGTTACGAAGAGTTGGAAGCAACTGAACGAATAAACAACAACAACAATGAATCCTCATGTAAATATCTAATATGCAGGATGTATTTTCATTTACTGGACCAAATTTGGCACCAATACCCAATACACCCAAATTTGAATACTGGTGGAGTTGGGAGGGGGGATTGATTTTGTCATTTGAAAGTTGCAGTTGCTGGGATTTATAGTTCACTAATAATCAAAGAGCATTCTGAACCCCACCAATGGTAGTATTGGGTCAAACTTCCCACACAGAACCCCCATGACCAACAGAAAATACTGTTTCCTCTTATGGTCTTTGGCAACCCCTCTGATACCCCCTCGTGACCCCCCCCAGGGGTCCCGACCCCCAGGTTGAGAAATGCCGATCTAAACCTTGTCAAAGGCCTGCTGAAAAAACCAAGTTTTAAACATTTTTTGAAAGTTCTGTAGAGTGGGGGCTTGTCTAAGTTCCCTGGGGAGGGCGTTCTAGAGCCAGGGAGTCACCATTGAGAAGGCCCTTTCCCTCGTCCCCACTAACCGCACGTGAGATGAAGGCGGAACTGAAAGGAGGGCCTCCATCTTAGAGCCCGTGCTATCTCATTGGGGAAGATGCGGTCACAAAGATAGACGGGACCCGGACTGTATAGGGCTTTGTAGGTAATAACCTGCACTTTGAATTGGGAATGCAATTTTTACAAGTCATTTGAATTCTATACGAGAAATGGGGTGGTGCTTCTAGAAATCCAATAGCTGCTGCCCTTGGTGGTGTCTAAAGTTGCATTTCTCCCTGCCATGCAAACATTAAAAACATTGGAGCCTGCTTAAAAAAAGAAAGAAAAGGTGGCAATCTTAAGCAAGGCTTTTGACTGTGTGAAGATTTGGAAAAAAAATGCATTGTAAAGGATTCGAATCTTTAGCCAGATCTAGAACGGGAGTGTTAACATTTGCCCTCACACGTTTTCCGGTCAGAGTTCAGAGTCAATTTGTCGTTCTAAAGAGCAAAGCCAGTTGTGGTATGGATCAGCGAGGCTTGGGGAGGGTTAAAAATAATCACCTGCAGTTGAAATGAGACGTGGGAAGTAGGAAGTGCTGCAGCTTAAGCTTCCTGTATAAATAAGTGTAGCTTTCTCACAGCTCCTGATATGTGTGGCGACATACGTTTGAAGAGATAATGGCAACATGCTCTTAATAGTAGGGAGGAGATTATTCCTCAGAGCACTGAGAGGGTTGGACAATGAGTCCTCTTTCAGACCTGTAATGTGTCAAGCTTTCAAGCTGTGGAGGAAGGAAGAAGGAAGGAAGGAAAGAAGAAAAGAAGGAGAGAAATATGTTTTTTCAGACTCCGAGCTGGTGCTGGCTGTGACATGTCTTGGAAGCACTGAAGTGTGAGTGAAGCTATTGAAAAGTCAAACGTCTGGGAGTGAATTCTGCTTTCCGTCCGCAAGGTAGGCTGCAATGACCTGTGTTTCTTTCCAGCAGGAGGTGGAATGTTCATTTTCAGCGCTTAAAGGGAAAAGGGGATCTAACATACCCCAAAATCACTCCGGTACATGATTTTAATGTAAGGAAGCAGAGCCGTGGTTCTTAGAAAATTATCTGAGGCAAAAGACGTGTTTCTTAGATATTTGATTCCAGTGTCAGAATGATAACTATGTATCAGGTTCTTTGGGGAAGAGAGGGAGGCTGTTTTTATCAGTCCAACACTGCAACCTCTCCCCCTCCCAAAAAACCCCCAGATACCCTGTTAGACTATTGAAAAATGCTCATTTTATTTGCATGGAACCAGAAACTGGAGTGGTGAGAGATAATTACAAATCCATTGACTTGATCTAGAAAGGGGAGTTTTGTTTATGTAAAAGCACAATCTATGCATTGTATGTTGTGTCATCTGACTGGTAGCACGTCTCCATATGTGTCTTGTGTGGGAGAAATACACCAGATTACATGGACACAAGGTTATTTGTTTTCTCTAATTGCTTTAAGACTTTCGAAATCAGCATTATAGTGGCAAATGCTGAATGTGTGGTATTTGTATTTTTTACTTCCTCATTGTAGATAGAAAATGAAACCCAAAAGCTTATGTGTTTGAATATATCATCATGGAGACACTGACTTTTCATAGGGATGGCAATAGAAAGTAGCATTTTGTGATATTGCCTGCTGTGAATATTTTATATATGTGTATGTGGTTTGCATAATGCAATGCTGATCAGGTTAACAGACCCCCAAATTCCAGTTAATATTCTGAAAGATTTTTGAAAGTGCTGCTCAGCATGAAGTCTTGTGCTTGGCAGATACTCCTTCTGCATTTTGCCATATCCATCTTAGACTTATGCAAGTGATAAAACTGGAAAGAAATGTTTGTGTGGAAATAGAGGAACTGACAGTGCACCTGCTGGCAAAACCCATGACCTTTGCAACTTCTTCACATCGTCTCTCATATCTATCCAGGTGACTTGTATTTTCTCTTTCTGCAAGATACAAAACATGTGATCAAAGCCAACTGTACCAGAGGTATGCTGGTGTAGACCCCTGCACACGATTTACGGACAATCTACTGGTGATAAATTGGACATCTGCTAGTGCAGCGTTTCTCAACCTGGGAGTTGGGACTCTTGGGGGAGTCATGAGGGGGTTGCCAAAGACCATCAGAAAATGGGGGTTCTGTGTGGGAAGTTTGACCCAATTCTATTGTTGGTGGGGTTCAGAATGCTCTTTGATTATAGGTGAACTATAAATCACAGCGACTACAACTCCCAAATGTCAAGGTCTACTTTCCCCAAATTCCACCAGTGTTCACATTTGGGCATATTGAGTATTTGTGTCAAGTTTGGTCCAGATCCATCATTGTTTGAGTCCACAATGCTCTCTGGATGTAGGTGAACTACACCTCCAAAACTCAAGATCAATGCCCATCAAACCCTTCCAGTATTTTCTGTTGGTCATGGGAGTTCTGTGTGCCAAGTTTGGTTCAATTCCATCACTGGTGGAGGTCAGAATTCTTTTTGATTGTAGGCGAAACATACATTCCAGTAAGTACAACTCCCAAATGACAAAATCAATCCCTCACAACCCCGCCAGTATTCAAATTTGGCCATTTTGGTTGTTTGTGCTAGATTTCATCCAGTGAATGAAATTACATCCTGCATATCAAATATTTACATTACGATTTATAACAGTAGCAAAATTACAGTTATGAAGTGGCAACAAAAATAATTTTATGGTTGGGTGTCACCACAACATGAGGAACTGTATTAAGGGGTCGTGGCATTAGGAAGGTTGAGAAACACTTGGCTAGCGTGACACTCCCCCTGCTTCTGCTTTCTATGTGAATATTCCTATGCATCTTTCCCACCTGCACAGGGTTCTTGACAAATGAATGGTGCAGACTACTAACTGTCTGCACATTTTGCTCTTTTACAAATTGAAAAACTGTGATCCATTTTCACCCCCTGCACCACAATGTTACTGGTATCATTTTTTCATCTTCACAATTCTGGAGCAAACTGAGTGGATTTATTCTTCTTGGGGATGTGTCACTTGTTGAGTTTTGCCCTTTACTTCCTTCTCAGACAATGTGTATGTGTCTTTTGACTTTACCCCAATGTGTACTTCTGGTTTCCTCTGTTATTTCCTTAGCTGTTTTCAGTGGAAGAATGCCAGAGGTAGTCAGAAAGATCCATGCCGCATGATGACCACAGGTAAAAACCACAGGGTGAGATTTGCAATCCAGTCTACAGAGGCATTAATAAACTTGAAGCTTTCTGAATTTCCTGGTATGATGTAGAGCCATACATGAGGCACAAAAGGTGGAACCAGAAAACTTGACTGAGGGTCCTTCCACACAGCCCTATATCCTAGAATATCAAAGCAGAAAATCCCACATTATCTGAATGTGGACTCAGATCACCCAGTTCAAAGCAGATATTGTGGGATTTTCTGCCTTTATATTCTGGGATATAAAGCTGTGTGGAAGGGCCCCCAGTCCACACTGCCATATATTCCAGTTCAAAGCATATAATGTGGGATTTTCTGCCTTGATATTCTGGGGTATAGGGCTGTGTAGAAGGGCCCTGAGTTAGTTTTTTTCCAAGTCAAAGGGGGAACTAGCTCAGATTTATTACAGGTGGCTGTGATTGCTTATTGTTGTCAGACTTCCCTTTTTTCTCCTCCTTTTTTACAAAGAGGAAAAGGGCCTCAGTGAATAGGTTCATATGAGAATGGGCTGAAAGCCATTGTAAGGCGTAGACAAAAATTGCTGCAGGGAGCCATAGTATAATTGTGACAACTGTACTGTCTGGGTAGATATGAATACGCCTGAGTTTCTTTTTATATTTTGCAGCCATTACACTGTATTGGGTGTTGCACAGTTTCTTGATGGATCACCTAGTTATTCCTGTGTAGCTGCCATAGATCATAGAGTTTTGGTGTGGCAGGAACATTAACTTTAGTTCTGAAAATAAGTTCCAGTTGAGAAATAATGAAAATCCAGTTAACCTGATCCATAGGATGCAGACAGATATTCTTAACAAACAAATGCAAAAAAAATGACATATTATTTTCTTCTGTACTGGTTTAGTTGAACAGAACACTAGAATTTCTGCCCTTAAAGTCTTTGTCACATGAAGATTGTAGTTGTGAGTGTGGTCGAATCATTGAGAGCTGTTGAATCATCAGGTTAGTTTGCAATGTTTAGAAATGTTTGCTTAGTTTCCTGTGCCAAATAACTTTGAGTTTCGTATTCATAGTTTTGCCTTTCACATACAAGGTGCAGGCTTAGGAGGGGTTTTCTTGTAGTAATAAACAAAAGAAGTATGATACTAATTTTTAATTTTAAAAGGACCTCGCCAAGACTTTAAAATGTATATATGATTTTGCTGGCTGTAGTCATAAACCTGGATTTGATTGTTCGAATGTGCTTTCAGAGAACCTGCTTGTTGTATAGCTCATTATTTTCACATTTTTGCAAAGCAGGGCCCTAGGCTAAAGCTTCTATTACTGGATTAAAAAAGCAGAGGCACAACTTCAGTTGTATGAACAGAACAATAAACAGGTTTTAGAGCTTTGAAACCTTAGATATAAATTCTTTACTTTTGATTTTTCAAGTTTTGGTTTTATAAATCAGCCTTTCCCAGACTTTACATATATGTACTATAGCTCCTATCATATCCAAGCACTGCGGAATATCATCAAGGAAGGAGCCAGTCTAATGTCCACGGGAAGAGTGTTCCACAGCCGAGGAGCCACCACCGAGAAGGCCCTATCTCTCGTCCCCGCCAGCCGTGCTTGTGAAGCAGGCGGGATCGAGAGCAGGGCCTCCCCGGAAGATCTCAAAGTCCTGGTGGGCTCGTAGGCCGAGATGCGGTCGGATAGGTATCTTGGGCCGGAACCATTTAAGGCTTTATAGGCCAACGCCAGCACCTTGAATTGAGCCCGGTAGCAAATCGGCAGCCAGTGGAGCTGGTACAGCAAGGGGGTTGTATGCTCCCTTCGTCCCGCTCCTGTTAGTATCATGGCTGCCGCACGTTGGGCCAATTGAAGCTTCCGGGCCGTCTTCAAAGGCAGCCCCAAGTAGAGAGCATTGCAGTAGTCTAAACGAGATGTAACCAGAGCGTGGACTACCATGGCCAAGTCAGACTTCCCAAGGTACGGGCGCAGCTGGCGCACAAGCCTTAGCTGTGCGAATGCTCCCCTGGTCACCGCCGAGACCTGGGGCTCCAGGCTCAGCGACGAATCCAGGATCACACCCAAGCTGCGAACCTGCTTCAAGGGGAGTGCGACCCCATCCAGCACAGGCTGTAACCCTATACCCTGTTCGGCCTTGCGACTGACCAGGAGTACCTCTGTCTTGTCTGGATTCAATTTCAATTTGTTCGCCCTCATCCAGACCGTTACAGCGGCCACTGGGGGTTCTGCTACTACTACTACAACTACTACTACTACTACTACTTTTACTACTACTACAAAGACTGGGTGGCCATCTGTTTAGGGGGTGCTTTGATTGTACTTTTCCTGCATGGTAGAAGGGGGACTGGATGCCCCCTGGGATCTTCCACTGAAATACTAAGTTTATTTCATTTAAAATTGTTCTTCATGTTAAATATTGTATTGTTTTCTTTCTTTCCTAATCTTTTGCATTAAAAATGGGATATATGCAGTGCACTTCAGAATTTGTTCCTTTTCCCCCAATTAGTCCACACAAACACTAGTCATCATCTGCCACTGACCTGGACCGCAAGTCAAATCTTAAAACGCAATGCATCAAAAAGTTTTCCCATGGGGCTCCATGAGAAAACTTCACTTCAAAAAGGGCTCCATGGCTGAAAAGGTTTGAAAACCCTTGATTTAGAACAGTGGTTCTCAACCTGTAGGTCACCAGATGTTTTGGCCTTCAACTCCCAGAAATCCTAACAGCTGGTAAACTGGCAAGGATTTCTGGGAATTG